TATAGTTGCATCCAGCCTGTGTGAACTGTTTCATTCCAAAGTGTACAGTATATGCAGGCAGGGTATCCCATAAGCCCCGCAAATACTCTAGGGTATTTGGGAGTGTGGGTGGGGTTGTCTTCTCGCTTAGCGTCATGATCCAATAAACGCATTTTTTTAAAGTCAGATTTTGATTGTTAAAGTGAATTCCTTTCGGCCTAAATTCTGTCAAAATTTGGGCAAAAAAAAGAGACTTACTTTGACTGTCACAAGCTGAAAAATGATTAAACGTGAGTCTTTTTTGTTTACGTATTGGGGAGGCACCACGATGAGCACCCCTGCACACTCAGAAAAGGGTGTACCTTCAGAGTCAAGCAGTACTTACATAAATGCAATGTAATGACACTGATACGACTTATGGCCTTTTCTGGGCGCGTACAGTACAGTATAATAAAGAGAGAACCGGAGGGGGGGGAGGGGACGACGACACCTTGTACGTAATAACTTTTATAGTCAACACCTAACAATTTAAAGTTAAACAATTGCATGGGAAACTAATAACAATCAGGGTAATACTTTAGGCGATCAATTCACATCTTAACCGCTATGCTGCTCTTAATTTTTTTTAAAGAATAAAAAACTTTCGCACGAACTAAAAATGTCGTTACTAAATTGGCACACAATTAGTAATTTATAAGTAGACTTTTGACATTCATTTCTCAAAGCTTACAAAAACGTAATTAGTCCTCAAATCACTGTGACTTTCAAAATCAAAGTCAAAGAAATCAAATATGTGGGAAAGGAACAAAAAGTATGGAAAAAATGAAGATGTTGCCAGAGGTGCGAAACAGGGTCATTTGTGCCTAACGTCTTTTCCAGGGAATTCCCACATGGGGGAGGGAGGGCGGGGGAAGGGCTCCAAGCCGCTCCAAGCAATACAAGGCCGCGTTAAGACATAGAGACGATATGTTCGTACGAGTCGAGCGGCCCTTCTTGAGAGCTTGATCATCGCTACTTTGAACTCCTCTGCCCTGCGGGCTGCAGAGCCTCTTCAAGGTGGGCGTGCCATGCCGTGGGCCGTAGGTGGGGGCCCTGGACCTGGCCAGGATCCGGCTTCGGTGTGGTGGGCCCTTCATGTGGAGCAGGGAGGGCAACTGGGTCGCTGCGTCTGGTGCTCGCGGACGTAGTCCTGCACGTTGAAGCGGTTGTCGTCCGGGTTTCCGCTCTTCCGGGATTTCAGTTCCCTGAAAAGAAGTACAAGTAAATGGTCAATTACATTGGCAGCTGTCAAACCTGCACTGATAAACAAAGTGGTTAGTCGATTAACACTTGGAAGTGAAAATTGTGTGACAGCTTCTGTCATTAACAGAAAAGTGTGTGACTTAGCAAAAAAAGTGTATACTTGTCCGACACATAAGAGCGAGTATGGTTCTTGGTTGTCACACCACCCTTTTTGGCGTGCACGCTGTTTTGTGTATCAGGCAGGTGGTGGACAGTGAGACAACAAAGAGAACTGGGGTATGAATAAAGGCACAGCGGCGACCGTCCTTTTTGTTTGGCCTCACTCATCGCGGAGCGTGGCGGAGCGGGGGCGAAGCGGGGGCGGAGCGGGGACGGAGCGGAGGCGGAGCGGGGGCGCGCCACACACCACTAACTAACGCCGCGACTCACTTGTACTCTTGCTGGAGCACCACTCATTCAACCCCCTCCCTCCTCCCCTGTCTATTCTTCAGACAGGAGTAGCGGCAGCGCCAAAACAGGCCTTTGAAAAGCATGTCGATGTCGTGCTACAAAGGGGTGCTGCGTTGGACGGGGTCGGGCGAGAGAGAGCGAGAGAGCGAGAGAGAGAGAGAGAGAGAGAGAGAGAGA